ACTGGCGATTTAGATGCCACTCAGTTAGATGCATGTTTTTGGAATGTGAGAGGAAACTGAAGCAGTTGGAGGAAACATCAGTCGTGCAAATTAGTATCTATTGGCATCATCTTTACCAGCAGCCAGACCTTTTCTTTTCCTGTTAATATTTGGTTTGGAGGACTTTTGTGAAATTTCTTCTATAGCCGGCATTGAGTCATAGTTTTAGGTGTGTTTAGAGCTGTTGTTCTGCATGACCTACTTTTTGTTAAGCTTCTGCTCACAGTTAGATACCCCGAGATTCCCCTGCAGAATTTACCGGTAAACTCCAAAAGTCATTGTTTTCTTGGTAGTTGCAAGCTGTCCCAAACCATTACAGCCAACAACATGCTTCACAGCTGGGATGTGGGTTTTGTTGCCTAACTTTTTTATTTCTGCTGACCATCTGTATACAGAGGGCTTTTCCAGTGTAGGTGCGAATTACACAGGTAGTCTCTGGAACAACGAAGCAGTCCTTTTATGAAAATGTTGATTTTCTTGTGGTACTAACGCCATAAGCTCGACTCTGCTGTAGTGTTTTCTATCAGAATCAGCTTTATTCGCCAAGGAATTTGCTTCTGGCTGCTTGAGACTCCCTAGTACACAGGCAATAAATGACACTATACAAACAATAAGTTACACTATACAAGAAATAAAATTTCAAATATACACACATGGGTAACCCACTGTACAAAGTATAAGGTGCGGGGTTGAGTTTAAGGGGGGGAATTGAGAGAAGGCAGGTGAGACAGCTTAGCTGTTTATGAGGGTGATGGCCTGAGGGAAGAAGCTGCTCTTGTATCTGGTGGGTTTTGTGTACAGAGTTCTGTAGCGCCTGCCAGAGGGGAGGACCTGGAAAAGATTGTGTCCAGAGTGTGACGGATCTGCAATGATTTTCTCTGCTTGTTTCCTAGTCCTTGAGTAGTACAAGTCCTGGATGGGGGGCAGGGGGGCACCAATGAGGTCCCCAAAGAACATTAGTCAGTGGCTGACGGACTGTCTCCTGTCCAACAGTGTTGATGAATCTCATCAGAGAGAAAAGAATTGACTGTTAACTAAAAGTTTGTATTTCCTGTAAGGACCCACAGACTCACATCTGACCACTTTTTCATTGACTGGATCATTAATGTGAAATTACCCCCTTAATAGCGCTGATTATCCTGCAGCTTCACAAGCCTTTTTCAAACAAGCAC